ATCAGTTATTTAGCTTATTACATACAGCTTTTAGATTTGTTTTGAGGAGTTCACAGAGGAGGATAAAGAGGATAAATTTGAAAACAGGCTGTTTCTAATCCTGCTTTTCTGAGATTTAAGATTCACTCATAACAATGCAGCTTTATTGTGCTTCCTTGCCTCTTTTCTGCCAAATTCTTGTCCTGTATCCTTTTTTAAAATGTATTATATCCATAACATTTTTCATATCAGGAGATGCTAAAAGAAACCTGCACTGCCAAAAAAACCCAAAAAACAGTTATAGTAAGGAGCTAGACCAATATAAAGGATATTCATGGCTTGTTACAGATGAGCAAGCATCCCACTTCCATTTATTTTTCAGCAGAGCAGTTTTACCCCCTCATATACAAGTCAGCAGAGAAATACATATTTTCCTCTTGGGGGTTTTCTCAGCATGTATTTTTTTCTTGTGTGCTGTTTGTTTTCTCTCTCGATTTTCTCCTCTTCTCTGCATGATTAAGAATACAGTGCAAACACGGAGATGGAGGGAATTTAATCCAATATTTGAGGCTACAGCAATGCCTACTGATGCTCTCTCACAGCAGTCATTTTTGTGATCACTTTCAACTGCCCTGTAAAAAGGATTTCAGCAGAGTGAGGGGAGCTACGAAAAAGAACGTTAGTCCAACTGCTCTCTATTTCCCATCAACTATTAATCATTCTATGGAAAGATTCCAGGAGACAGAGGAAAGCCAGCAAGAATAGTCCCAGGAATCTCTTTGTATTCCAGCTGGACTGCACTCTTCCCACACAGAACTGCTTGGCAGGAAGACTTCTGATGACTAAAAATACTGCATTGTAAAATTTTATTCATGAATTTTGTAAACTTGTTTTGAAAGGATATATAGCCTGAAATGTATGATATAATTGCAACTAGAAAATAATAGCAGCAATAGTTGCTAGCAACATTATCTTCATATCACAAATATATATTTATTTTAAGGGTGTGGAGATTAAGGATAAGACTTCGCTACTGGAAAAATACATGGGCCTCACTCCATCTGAAGCTCTAGAGACTGCTAAACACAGCACTGGCTGCCAAGCTAAGG